CGTTCAATCGCAAGCGAAACTGCCTTCCTCCCAACCTTCCCCCCTGATGCAACCCCTTGTGACAATCTGCTTTCAGACAAACAAGGAAACTAAAACTGCCATTATACAAGCATTCCTTTAGTTAGTCTGATTTGTGTCATGAAAGGCAATCCCAAAAAGTCAAAGTAGAGGTTGCACTCAGCATAGTCAACCAACACATAGGGAGGAGTGTAGATAGGGGTTATACTTGGTTTATGAGGGAAAGTAAAGGTCACCTCTAAGTTCCCTGCCTCCATAACTCCTCCGGAGTTCTGGCAGAGCTCCCGCAATCGGTGGGCTGACTCCCCACAGAGTCTTGCTGCGGTCTTACGGGTTGCAATCCCGCCTGCCGCCTTCCTCTCAGAACCAATTGACTAGACTTAGAGCAAGAAGGGTAGAGGCAGAAGGTTTGAGGCTCTCAGATACAAGAGGGGTGCTCTCAGACTCGCGCGAGAGGGCCTTGAAGTTTTCAGCGCCTGAGGGCCCCGCAATGACAGCCAATGCGATAGCTTGATCAAATCGGAGTGAAACCGTCGAAGTCAAACTGTTGAACTCAAATCTCCTGGCGAACCCGCAATTTTCCAACAATAATCCCTCTTTCGCAAGCATGATTATCCTTCTAAGCCTCAATGCCTCTCCTTAGACCTGGTTGTCGCTGCACTGCACCTCTTAAAATCTGGACGGAGTTCTCAGCCTGTCAGTTCGTGCAATAACACAATGATACGCAGCGACTACTCGGGAGCAGGCCAAGGGAAGTGATAAGTCAGTTGTATACAGTTTATCGCACGGATACGGCATTTGCAGCCTTGTCTTTCAGCAGCTGCTTATTCACACACGTCGGCGACACCGTCCGCAGTCACCGTACTCCTACATATACTATGAATCCCGCTTTCATGGTAACGACAAACTAGTGAGTCTCCTCAATAGCAATCATGTCACGAAATGTAAGGTCGCGGCAAAATCAGCCAGCTCGCAGCCCTTCACCAGCTGCCTTGCATAATAGGACAGATGGTACCCCCATCCACAGCCCCGCTTACTCCACACAACTAACCTGCTGTAGTCATACATTCGATCTTAGCTACGAGACAGCACTCGCCCGCTCCCTTCCTCGAAGTAATAAGGCGGCCGAGCTCAGTGCACATAGGCGGGTAAGTCTCACCTCATCAACCTCGGCTCACCCTCACCCTTCTGCACTCTCCTTCTCGTCCTTTCTGTGTGTCTAGATGTACCCTGCCTTCAACACGGTCAGGTTCAGTCAATCGAGAGTCTGAAGGCACCTCCTGCAAACGTGAACAGCTCAAATCAAGGCGAGCAAGCCGTCACTCAGAATGGGCGAATACGCTGTCCAAAGGTAAGCCCCCAGCCGCGCGACTTACCTCGCGCAATTCCCATCGCTCGGCCCCATCGCTCGGATAGAAGCCGAGCGATTCCTCCCTTTCGTTTTATTCCGCAGGTAAGTATTATTTCTTCCTCTCTCTCTGCCCTCGTTCAAGCTCTCCTGCATTACCTCCATCKTACCGCACCAGCCCCCGTTCTCAGCGGTGAAAGTACCTGGTCAGCACCAGGGCCAGGTTCGATCGAAAAACAAAACCGACACGCCTGGCTCAATCTCAATTACTACATCGCTACATCCATAGTCTCAAGGCAAAATCCATCAATGCCATCGCCTTCACGACGGCCCAAAACCCGAGTCACCCTCTTTCCTTGCTCGATTTTGTCAAGGATCGAGCAAGGGCGTCGTTTCTCTACTCGCCCGTTCCCATCATAGCCTCCGCGCACGCCCTTCTCATTCTACCCTCGTTTTCTACTGATCTAACAACAAAACTAACATTACCATTGTATTCCCCATACCTAGAAACCCCCGAAACGAATCCTCCCTCGTTCAAGTCCGACCATTGATGAGCGAAAAAGACATTTTCCTCCTCCTTGTCTTTGTCACTCCCACCATAGACTGCGCACGGTCTCCTCCCTCTAACTCTTGCTATACTAACTTGTTCGTCGTTTTGAGCCCGCCATTGTGGTCGCCCTATGCCAAAACGTTACACCCGACTCTTTCCCCGGCCGTTTCCGGTGGGTTAGAGGTGACAAAAGAGGGAGTCGGGCGCAGTCAGGTGAGCGTAAATGAGCGGGTTACGCTCACCTGACTGCGCCCGACTCCCTCTTTTGTCACCTCTAACCCAGTTGCGCGTGCACCTGGCACCCTTTCTCGTCCAGATTCACTTTCTCTTCTAACCCCAAATCCACTAACTTTCTTCCAAATCTACCTCCACTACTCACTTCGCCCTACCTATAAACCCATATTTACTACCTTTTTCCCACTGATTATGTCGAGAATCAACTAATAGTCTCGACTTCTCACCCCTCCTTCTCCATAGCTCGCGGAGCTTGTTTCCCTACTAACTCTAGTTTCTATTCATCTAACACTAAATCCAATGCTACCATCTGATTCATCGGGGTTGAAAACCCCGGATTCGCACCTTTGCCCTCTCGATTCCGCGCAGGATCGAGAGAGCCACGCCACCTTCCCTGCGCCCGACTACTCTCTTTGCCATCTCTGTTTTTGAACGCACCCGACGCAAGAATGCGTCCACGTTCGTTCCCCCTCCTCTGTCCTCCGTCCAGTCTGCGCCCAATCCCCTGCCTTAGCACCGCGTTACCGGCGCCCCGAGTCACCTCCTCACCATCACCGTTGCGCCTGGCCCATCACCCCGCCATCTCTCTCGTGCACGTATTTGCCTCGGATTCGCACCGGGTTCATCCTCCTCCGTTACTGCGCTCGGCCTGCCATCTGCTCGTTCTGTCGCCCGCCCGCCGAGTTCGCTCCCTCGGTCGTGCTGTCGCCCGGCGATCCGTCCTCTCCCCCACTGCCTTGCTGCCACTCTGCACTTCTCCTTACTGCATTAGCGCAGCGCTACGCAATAGCCATCCGCCCGTCGCTCGTCGCCCGCTGCCCGCTTCTTCGGCCGATGTTGGCGTCAACATCGGTTCTTCCGAACTGTGCAGCCCGACGGACGGTCAAAGTGCCAAGCAAGAGCTTCGGCCTTCGGACCCCCTCCCGACTTATGTGTGTCATCCTTGCGCAAGGGCCATGCTAATCTTCTGTATATCGTTCCAATTTTAACGGATGTCCCGAGGGACTTCCACCGTGGCATTGCCCCACGGCACCACCAAAGGCGGCTCGGCCTTTGCCCCAGGCCTATTGGTGGAAGACAGGCACCACCCTGAAACCCGCGTCGCGGGCTAGGCACATGCCCGAATCGATCGGGATTAAAACAGATCTTGGCGGTAGGGGCAAATATTCAACTGGGTCCTGGAAACCAAAGTGGGGGGGGGGGCTTCGCGCGGCAAATTTATGCCGCCTGCGGCACACCCTGATGCCTGGCCCACCCTCTTTCTATGCCTCACGGGCACGCACACCCTCAAGCCCCTCACGACAAATCACGGCGGGGTGGTCGGCACATCCACAAGGGGKCCGCACCACTCAGCTTTCCTCCTCCTCGTGGGTTAATCATCCACCGGCTTGCATGCACGTCGGGCTCCCCGGTCCGTATTTTCGAGACGGACAAGGTCGAGGGGACTTTACCGGTATTTCAAGCACGCCTGAATCCGCCAGTCAACCAAAAGAGACGTGCGCTTGAGGTCCTCGACTACCGTGACGGTCGTCCGTGGCCGACGTCCTGCCCTACTTACGAAAAGTCAAAACAAAAAATAAAAAAACTCGGAAGAATTGACCATTGGCTCCGTCCTGACGCCGCCGACGGCAAAACCAAGGGGGATAGCCCCGCCAGGCCCTCAACCCCTCGGTCCCTCCGCGCCACTCTGATATTCCCGCGTTGTCGCCGCTCGTCCTCGATCCCTGAACCTTCGTCTCACGAACCCGATATCGTAACCAATAGGGCTAGGCCCAAGTCTGGCGTTAGCCCACGTGAAACCCAATATAAGGTGATGCGGCGCAGTGCCTAGGTCAGAAAAACGGCCTGGGCATCGTCCCTGCCTGCAACCAAACCCACGGCCGCTAAGTATTCGCGCCGGCCTACCCAAACCGTGCCGTAGCCGCCCCCGCGCGCCATCCTACGCCGCCCCATTTACCGCACAAGGTCGCACCGTCGCTGTCGATGCCGTCGTCCTCGCACGCGCGTTCGCCTCGGTCAACCGTACCAATCAAAAGAAAGTATCCTTAATCCCTGCTTAATCAAGGATAAACAAATAATGATAATATCATTAAACAGAACGACCGATGTCCGCGCCGGCTTTATGATCAACAACAGAAAAATCACGCGTGCCCTAAACCTGCGCGCCCACGCACTCTCTATTATAATCAACCATCCAGTCAGCGTAGGTCACAGATGCAGCCGCGCCTAGCGCGGTATACTTGAACTTTAAATCGAAGCTATTTCTCTGTCACTTGCAAAAACCAGGGCGGATACCCTTGTAAAGGTATTCGCGCCGACACCGTTGGAACAGGCGACTCTAGAATGGCACATGAGGTCAGTTGGTGTTTGGGCTGCATAAGATTTTGAGTCGAGGAGCAGCTATTGTCTATGGTAAGTGGCCACCCCTACAGACCGGACAGGACTGGTTCGGGTGTGTGTGTGCGTTTTCCCTTTGCTTCAACTATTCACCTTCCCTTCTGTGCCGTCCGCCCTCTCTCCCACCCCTCTTCTCTCCCAAGGACGGAGCTGTGGCAAGAAGAGATCTTGTATATTTAAAAAGAAGAAAAACCGAAATAGAAATAAATAAGGATGCTGAAACCCTAAAGCCCTTCCTGTATTCCTGCCCTCAGTCCTGCCCCTTTTTGGACCTCCCAACCATAATGGGGAGGAGCGTAGCGTGCGTACAATTGTATTTTTTGACTTGCCTGTGGAAAAGGAACCGGACTGCTGCTCCCCAGAATAGAAGGAGCCTTGTTTCCCCCCCCCAAAAAAAAAGATGCTGAAACCATTCGCAGTTCGCATGGGTTGATTGGTTGGCAGTTTTTGTACCTGGTACTGAGGCATTTCGTTGAAGTATGTTTCCATCATCAGCTCAAGCGATGGACGTTCAGGATGAGCGTCTATGTAGGTGAAGAGGTACGTTGTCCGATCCAGTGGCCCTGATCCTGTAGGAAATGCCTGTTCCCAACACGTGCACAAGGACACCGCGCCCCCGCCCCGCCCTCCCCCGAGGAAAAAGAACACAAAAAGCAAAAGGTGGTTTCAATTTAATCAGCGCCATCAGACAGAATCACACCAGCCCACATAGCATTACCCACATACCCCATACTGTACCACCCAGCCCACATAGCATTCCCGACCAAACCCCGCTCAGTAATGCCCAGTCCATGTGGTACAGTCCATTCCACATAGTATGACCCACCCCACGTAGTGCCCCATAGCCAGCTCACCCAGTCTACATGGTACAGCCCCATCCACATAGTATCACCCTTGCCACATAACACCACCAAGTCCGAATAGTACAACCTTGTCGTGCCACTGTCCCCTCTTTCGTTTGTGCTTTCTGAGAACAGAGAGACAGAGAGAAGGGCGCCACGCATTGCATCTATGCAAAACAATAGAGGTAGCTATGGCGCAGTCGCGATTTCCAGTTTCAAATGCACTTCAGTCATTCCCCCCATCATAACACACCCCCACGTGACCCTATGGACCCGAATCCTGGCTTGTATACATTCAACATTTTCGGGCCTTTTGCCTAGACTGCAATCAGACTCGTTTTCTTTTCCACTTTGCAACCATGCAAACAGATGGCGATTCACACTGGCGCAGCGCGCCCACTCAAAGCTCAGAGATATGGAAAACGAGAACACAGTTCAGATGCAAAATCGCTTCAACAAACTATGGCGCTTCGGCGCCTGCACATCCAACTCTCGTCACTGTGCCCAACACCACCGTTCGCACATACTCAACCCTGGATCACCCTGACACACTTCCCTCTCTTACACACACACACACTAAAGCCTATCTTCCTCCTACAGCGGCTATGGGCGCTCTACTACTACTGACTATGGCTACGTTGTGTCTCTTCAGCCCACTTCGACTTCGGGCGACCTGCAGACCACCTCGCACAAGATGCTGTAGCAGCGCTTCCGCATGGCTTACGCGGCGAATGAATCAATGGCTGGACGCTGCCTCTTGATCTATACTTCTATAAGTCGTTGGTCTGCCCCTTTTCCACCGGGCCCCTGGTGCACACAGTCCGTCATGGTACTTGCTGACTGTGCAAAGTGAGACTGGGACTGGGTACTGCTGACTAAGCGAAGTTGGACTCACCACTTGCCCACTTGCCTCTAACTAAACGTGAGAATTCTCGAAAGGCCACTTCCGGACCTTCTGGAAGCTGGTAGACTTGGCCTTTCGGGACTGTAGCAGCTACAACCTTGACCTTTCAGGACTGTAGCAGCTACGACCTCTACACAGCTATGACCCCTACTCGACAGACCTACAGATCGAACCCCTACAACTACACAGACCTACAACAAACGACAACCAACTACCAAAACACCGGTCACGGGTTCAAACACTCGGGGGTCAAATCAATACTGTACATGGGTAAGGTAAGGTCTGGGAATCAAACTCTAGGGCCCGCATCTGTGACTGCAAAAAGGCGAAACCGTTTCAAGACTCAGTGGACTGCATTTAAAATTTGAAACCCCGACTGCACCATAGTTATTTCAAAAAAATAAGGACAGAGACCCAATCCTCATGATATCGTTGTATCCCCCGGCTTGTCTATACTGCCTCTGACCCCACCACCTAGACTCTGTGCTCTCCCTCTTTCCCTATATGTTATGCCCCACTTGTCCGTTCCGAAATCGTGCACTTGCCGCAGCTGGGCCGCAGTGCACCATTTGACTTTGTAAGCTTGTTTGTAATAATAATAAGCACAGTAATAATACAATATATTGTCACATCACTACAAACTAAAAGAGCGCACTTTGCGGAACAAAGAATAAAAGCAAAAAACGGGCACAGTGATAACATGCAAAAATAAAAATAAAAAGAAAAACAAAAAGAAAAAACAAGGGCAGATTGAAACCATTAAATTTCTCATTCTTCTTTGAACTCCACCTCCACTGTGCCTCTCACGTGCAAGGCTCACCACGTTGATGAAGTTACAATTATGTTATATACTACATAGTATGTAGTAATAATGTGCATGCATGCGAGGAAACAGGACGGAAGAAGTGCCTTTTAGTTTAAAAATTAAAATTGAAATATTTTTCTGGCGTGACGAAATCGAGCTTCAAAGGGTGTTGTGATTTGATCATCCTCCGATGAGTGAAGTAACCACTTTTTGATTATCCTCCAATGAACATATGCTAATACCTCTTAAAGGTAGGGCGTCTGTGATACATCCAAAATCTGGCCCAAATCGCTAAAAAAAAAGAAACTCAATTTCATCACGCCAGGAAAATATTTCAATTTTTAACTAAAAGGCAGTTGAAGGATGTATGAGATGGGATGGAATCGTAGGGATTTCATCCCACATCTCATCTCAAACATCCTTCCAAAATGCAAGGCATGGAACTGAAGGAACGTGACGGAAGTCACGGAACAGAATGGAAGTCATGGAAGGATGGAATAGAGAAAATGGTACAATTGAATGGGATGAACAGAACCAACGGATTTGAATGGAAAACGACACAGATTGCACAGGACGCGATGGAGAGCATGGGAAAGGATGGACGAATGGACAGACGAACAGACGGACCTGTTAGACAAACTTGGGAAGAAAACTACCCTACCTCCCAGAAGAGCTGGCATGGCCATTTACCCAGTTTTCGAATGTCATGCGTAGAATACATGAGGTCGCCGGTCCTGTTATTAAGAAACCCACGCCCGCAAGATCCCACAACCAAACATATACCATCTGGTTTCTTGCCCCATCGGATCTGCAGGAGGAAACAGCACCAAGCAGTCAGAAGGTGACAAATCCCCCCTCTCAATATCCCCGTCTTCCTCCTC